GCTGCAAAACCATACATACCGGTAGAACTTGCAATACCAAAAAGGCAAAAAAGGCAACTCTTTTTTTATGAAAATTTAATTGTAGATTCATCAAAAACCCTTGTATAGCACTGGGACCCAAATTATATCTTCTATCCTACTGGGTGGTGTACAGTAGCATTGCATAAAACATAAAATCTAAAGAAGCAATGCGCAGCAGACGACACAGGAATTTTAAATGGTGGGACGTGGTTTTCTTATGAAATGTGGCCAAGGTCTATTGAACTGTTTATATAGGCCTATTTAGAAAAAAAATGGAAAGCGTTCGTAAATTTCGCAGTTCGTGTTAAAAACATTTAAAACAAAGACAGTATCAAGAATTCATGCATTTTTTGCAAATATTCTTTTAAAAATTTGAAACCAGCTTAAACTGAAATATATGACCTGTCTTTTCTGGTTCTCTTGTTACGGGTCGGGTGTCTCTTCGTTTATCCCAGTTTCAATGCAATAAAAGTTTCTCTCAGTTTCGTTCTTTTTCTCTAATATTTCCAAGGAAAAGACCAATGGGCGTTCAGTAGTCTTCAGATAAGCTATAGAGGTTTCACGTTTCTTTTGCTGCCTTTGGTTTCTTTTATGTTGGGCTCCTTTCATTTGCTACACAAAAAGAATAAGAGGGTGTAAATTCTTTCAGGATTAAATCTTTCATTCGTAAAGATGAATGCATAGGCTGTCAAACAAGTATATGAAATTAGCTTTGAAGCTGGCTGTAAACGCAGGCTTTTGAATCGATCGATCTGCCTTATCTTTCTTTATGTTCATCGATTGTTCCCCTGCCACCAAAATGTTCGATGCATTTTATTGAATGCCCCTATCCAGCGTCTCTTTTGAGGAAGACTGGGGAAATCAATTTATATGGTTAAATCAGGATGCACATGGATGCCGTGGTAAGTTGATTAACATTTCGTGTGAAACTATAAATACTGTATCATGTAAAATCTGATCAAAAATAGATAATTTTAGTTGGTGCCTGTGCTTGAAGGGACCTTGAATACTTCAATAGTGTCTTTGCTTCAAGATCTGGGTAACAAAATGTGACAAAAGAATGTGGCGATGCTGTAGGCGTAGTCGTAACCATAACGATGCACCTGTGGACGCAATTAAAAAACGAAATATCCGGTAAGCTATACATCAACTATGATCAAACTTTGGAAACTTTTATGTTAGGGACCTATCTATCAAATGTTGCAAGTTTCATGTGAAACTATGTCTTCTACCTAATACAAATGATGTGCGAATTTTTTGTCAAAGCTTGTAAACAGGACTTTACTCATGTTTATTGCAACTTGGTGATAAGCTGTTAGATGTGTAGGTGTGAGTTGTAGGTAAATGAACCCATGAATGGCAACAAAAAGGATAAGCACGTCTGATATATAAATATAGTCACATTGAATAACTTTTTATACACAGGCTATTTGTGACCCTTGAAAGGGTTGAAATACTGTACAAGTCGTCAAACAAGTGGAACTCCGTATTCACAGTGAACATAATTAAGTGAATAGGGGCCTAGTACGTCAGTGACGGCAGCGCTGCGTCAAATTTGGCAGCCCAATATAGTTGGAATGGCATTCTGCTAACAACTACCTCAGACAGATGTAGACCATACTCTACATGCAGCATAAGCTTTTGACACTAGCCATCTTGGACCACAGATTCAGGCAGACACTGTGGAAATATGAGTCGTGATGTAGTTTCAAGGGTGGTGGATCATTTGCCTAAACCGTACGTACACGTAAGATACTTTTTGTTCACAAGATAAATGTTATAATTGTGATAAACCTACACGTGGATTATAATTTTAATGTTTGGCACTTTTTTGTAAGAAATCTATTGGCTTTGTTCTCTGAAAGACCAACACAGGCTTTTCTTGTTTTTCCAACGCACCTGTCTGGTAACTGGCGCCACCTATATGTAATTTCTTCCTACCGTCCAATATTTACATTTCACCAGCTGTCCAGATTGCCGGTCGGTTCAAGGCATAGAGCAATATGTCCCTCAACTGTCGGCTGTAGATCGTATAACATTTTATGGCTAACACGTTCAATTCCTTGCTGAATAGATTCGTCAAGATAAGAAGGCAGAAGTATGAAGATCTTGACGAAGCTACGCAGCCTCCCGCAGATACAGCGGCAAGAACTGAAAGTGTGGAATTTGAGGCTTTCCCACCCGAGGGAGATGGAGGAGACCCTGGGGCACCCAAAGAAGGTACATCAGTGTGCGATGAAAATAGATTAGAATGGTTCTATATAGTAATATAGCCATGTTACATTTATTGTTGGAATAAGTTGCACCGCAAGCCACATTTCTGCTATTATGAATTCATTAGACCTACTGGCACTGCTACCAGTACATTGTACATCTGCACATATCTAACCTTTCGTGCTGCCCTTACCAGAATTTTATTTAAGTTTAAACAAAGCCTGTGTAGACCAATTTCCCATTTACACAACAGATGGGCTATGGCAGACAATGGAAAATTGTTTATTTATGGCTTACAAGAAAGAAACTTAGAGTACAGTGTGGTGGCTGACAAGGAAAAAATAGACCTCAGATCATTAAGCTTGGTTTGCATGCATGATGAATGTTTTTTCTCTCTCTTTCTATGTATAGACTGTATCCTGTGCTATTGTTTTCACTTGATATTCAAACATTTCCGTAATCTGCACAGGTATTATTGGCACTGCAGAAATCAATAGTGAAGATTAAACACCGTTCAAAGGAATCTATGAAAATAACCAATGAAAGTATTGCAGTCAACTAGCCATTTAAAATATTTTATTAGTTTCATGCTTTATAGAAGGCTGGGAAAAGAATTGTTATGGATTTTTCATGTATTGGCCATATGTTTGGTACAGTGGCAACACTGGGTAATTAGAGTTTTATCAGATTTCCATTTAGAAGAACATTTAGATAAGCATAAATGCATATATATATATATATATATATATATATATATATTCATTGCAGCTGTAAATTAATGGCTCCTAAATTGGCAGATATGAAATCAATATGATTCACATAACTTAAATAGAGCTTCATTAATCTGTTTCATTCAAAAACACTTGACAATTAGTAGAGGTTGTTTGAAAATAAGATAGGGAAGTTACATGCAAATGTAAACTCTTTGAAAGCATATATATTGATACAGTTTTGATTCTTGGTCATAGAATATCAGTATAAGGTGATCTTTAATTGATTTGATGTTTCTGCTTGCTTCAGATACATTCACAGTGGAGCAGGCAGTGGATGCCATTGGTTTTGGCAAATTCCAGATCAAGCTCTCTCTTCTCACAGGTCTAGCATGGGTTAGTACATTTTATTGTAATTTAGTTGTATTCTGTAGTTGCTCTTCCAATTCCAACCTCACTTTTTATGACTATATATATCAGATTTCACAGTTACTAAATATATATTTTATTTCTTCGTGTAGTTTCTTTTAAAAGACACTGATCTAGAAATGATGAGTGTTTTATTTTAATTTTTATCTGCTTCAGGAAATTATTTCTGATTCAGATAAAAAATTGAAGGTTGATGACACCAGGTTTTATTATTTTAAGTTGAATAAATGCGGCCTTAAGAAGAATTTATGCAACTTGAATATTACCTGCTTAAATATTTTCATCGGTAACGGAGAAAGGAATACTATCAGAGCAATAGATTATAGTTAGAAGACAGTGAAACGTAATGCATTACAAAAAGGTTGCCTGCATAAAGATTATTCCATTAGTTTAAATGGTACTAGTAAATGCCCATATTGTAACACATTGTGCATTCTAAATCATCAGCTTCAATTTTTCTAAAAGAAGACAGAGTATGTTTGTAAAGGGGCCACAGAACAGGACATTGAACAGGGGAGGGTGCTTTCTGCATGAAATAATTAATTGATTAAATAGCAATCATTTAAAATTTTGATTGTGTTTCACAGTACCTTTGTAATGAAGTATTGTCACTAATAACTTACAATGGTTTTATTTTTAGCACTCAGTACACCAAAAGCCATTAGCAGAAAATGGTTCTGCATAAGTTCTTTTTAAGGCCCCACTGGGCTCTTTTATTTACCTGTGGTTATCAGACACATTCTGGTATACTCAGAAAATAACAACAGGGATTCCAATCAACCTATTGGGCATATTAAATAACATACTTCTCATCTTTTCTTAATTTTCCCCTGATACCTGCCATTTGCATGCTAAAGGGTAATTCACTTGATATGAAGTTACATAATTAAAGGCGGAAGCTTTTGCCATTATAAGCTGTTTGCTTACACTCTAGCGATATACTAATTCTTTTTAAAAACACTAAGTTGTAAGTTATTAGATTATAATATTTCAGAAATGAATTTTTAATGACCTAGTGAAAGCTTAAAATCTTGACTGATAAGTATTGCATTGTTTGATTTTAAAACTGTTACATTGGTCTGATAGCCCTAATAATGCCAAAAGAGCATACAAATGATGTTTTAGGTATTACAGTCACTAGATGCTACATAGAATTTAACTCATAGTTTTAGTGACTGTAAAACCATTGTCTTGTATAAATGGCTTTCTCTTTTCATCCATGAACATTTTTTTCTTTGAGGAAATTTTTCAAATGAACAGAAGATATGCACCAATTTTTAATTAGGTTCACACTTGCCCTTAGTCACATGGAAAGTATCACNGGATGCTAGATAGAATTAACTCATAGTTTTAGTGACTGTAAAAGCATTGTCTTGTATAAATGGCTTGCTCTTTTCATCCTTGAAAAATTTTTTCTTTGAGTAAATTTCTCAAATGAACAGAAGATATGCACCAATTTTTAATTAGGTTCACACTGGCCCTTAGTCACATGGAAAGTGTCACATCTTATTGAAATTAAACTGGAAACAATATTTTCACATTATTCCGGAGTAGTGGATTTTTCTCAGTAATTTTTTTGCCTCTTCATTTTTGAAACCTGAAATAAAAGGCTGAAAGTAAAAACAAAACTCATATGTATAGAGCCTGTATTTCAAAACCTTGCCTTGATTTTGTGAAAACCCATATATCTGAAAACCACAGTACCCTAATAGTCTGGTACTTTATTTGAAATTGTTTGTAACACTTTATTACAGCTTCTGAACAAAGAGTGGCACTGCCATAATTGAAGTTATTACAGCCTGTGCATTCAATTTTTTACCCCTGTGGTCTTACAAGCCAATAGGCCTTGAAATCTACTTGTCTAAAAGGGAAAACTACTGTGCATACGAGATTCAAAATACCCAATAAATAGATTGTACATAACACCTAGAAATACAATAAATTACCTTTTACCACCAAAACATTGGCTATCTCATTTATTCTTAATTATCTATGCCTGCCTTTATACAGGTGAACCTTCATAGATGGATAGCCTCAGTAATAATTTTTTCATGCTAACTAACTTCAAATGTTGGAGCAGATTCATTAACCAATTGAAAGCATGGGGAAAATCCATTTTATGGCACTTATCCTGCCAAAATGAACAGTTATAATCCCTTTAATCAGTATTGGGTAGCTCAAGTTAAAATCTATAGATAGTGGACAATGGAAAAAAATACTCTAAAACAACTCCAGACTGGTAACTTTTAAAAATCCATTTTTGTTACTAGTCTAACATTAAATCTACCACTTCATTGTGTTGGCCCATTGGCTAGTGTTATGATCTTATTCCTACATGATGGATTTTTTCTTTTGCAGATGTCTGATGCCATGGAGATGATGATCCTCAGTATCCTGGGGCCAGCATTACACTGTGACTGGGATCTGGAGGACTGGGAAAAAGCTCTCATTACAACAGTATGGTTTATCAATGAAACAGGATCAGATGCATTATGCCTTTGTTGAAAAGTTAAAGTAATTTTGCTGTGAAGTGATTTTATAATTTTGTATTCAGCTACTGAAAAAGGGCAGCAATGTACCGGTTTAGCATCTCCTCCTAAAAATAAATGAATAAAATCTTCCTATCAGATTTTTTAGGCATGACATTGTTTACAGTCGAAAAAAAGTTTAGTGTTTTTTTTTTTAATTTTTTTTTCTTTTTACATCTATCTCTCTATCTGTCTGTCTATCTATCTATCTATATATATATAATTTTGTTCAATTTCAGATTGTTTTTGTTGGTATGATGGTGAGCTCTGGGTTGTGGGGGACCATATGTGACAAATATGGAAGAAGGATGGTAAGAAACATGTTTATTAATTTGTTGGTTTTTGCTGAAAGTTTGGGCAATATTTGTAATTAAAAGTTGTCACTAGTTTTAGCTGGCAACTATCACATTCTGTTGGTTTATTATTTCGCGTTTGAAATACGTATATTTTTTATTTTTGTCTAATTTTTGATGAACTGAAAAAGACAGGCATTGTCAGTCAAAAATTAGACAAATGAAAAATGTCGGGTACTATCTGTGATATGATAAAACAGAATGGATAATGGATTTATTCTGTATAAACTAGTTGCTAGAAGTAGAAAGACAAGGATAATGAACAAGATTTTATACTTAACTTACAATTCACTAGTTCATCACTGATTTGGTTTGAAATAAAGTGATTGGCCCAGTTTGTGTGATCCCGCTAATGTAATTTCACACAAAGAAGACATTCATCATATAAGTGGTATGAGCACTGACTAATAAACCTTTACTTCACCAGCCTTAACTTCCACCACAATTAGCAACATTTAAGAAATTGAGCTCGTTTTTTCTCTAGTTTAAAGGTAGTGAGTAGCATTTATCTTGAAATGAAAGGTTGATACAGGAGATGTAATTGCCAGCGTTGTGATAATAGGATTTTAATATCATCTATGGCTTGCTGCCTTGACGAGACCTGTGGTGATGTATTGATTTTTGTCGTAAGCAGTTGCGCTTGATATTCTCCATACTGTCTTATGAAGGCATGACGAGAGAAAGCAAGTGATCTTAATTGGATTTTGATTGTTGAATTACAAGACAGCTATTTCTCAGAGCCAATTTCTTTCCCTTGAGTTGAAAAGAGTTTATTCTTTTCTTTTTGTGTGTGTGTGTTATGACTTTGTGAGACATGCTGGTGGCAGAAACTCACCTCTATACTATTATAAGCATATTTGTGTTATTTCTAGTAATTAGTGGGGAAGCATTAGGTGACCTGGGATACCACATAGATTTTGTGTACAGTAATGAGCGTGATGGCTTTTATAATTATGAAAAGGTATATTAATTTCAGCAAGGGTTTCTTTAGGTTATGTTAGAGTGATCTTATCCCTCCTACTACACAATTCTTTACTCATTTTAATTCCTTCAAATTTACTACACATAAAGTCTATTTGACTGTTTCTTATTATATGATGCACAGCTCTTGTCTGAAATGATTGATTGCACTAATATACCATTACTACCTTAGATGATATGGCCAAACAAAGCCTAGAAAAAACTTTCATATAAACATTGCTTTATTGAATATCCCTTAGGAACCATGCCTCAGATTATTGGTAATCAATCCAGTAGCAGTATCATTTAAAAACATTCAGATTGATATTGGTGCTCTTAATTACAAAAGTTGCTTTATTAGGATTAATCATAATTCAGTAATTTTAGTGAGGAGCATAACATAACCCTGTGGGCAGTCTTCTTAACAGAAGTCTCTGCATCACAGACTCGGATAGTTGCAAGTTTATGTTGCTTTAGATGTTTTACTAAGTTTAGAAAACCTCTTGATGTATACTATATTACAACTACCGATGAATCTCTTGGCACAGTTAATATGTGCTATATCTAAATATTTTTAATTATTTCCTATACTATATAACCGACATTTATTTATTTAGTTCATTCTATTGGGAAAACTTAAATATACTTTTCACGAAAAAACAACTGACCATATTTAAATGTTGTACTTTCAAGCATTTCATCTACAACCCTGAAATTATTTCATTTGTTTACCATTGAAAGGATTGTGATAAAAAGAATAGCCCTACTATAATTTATTTATATTTGCTTTCAGTGTTATACATTTTGGCTTATTCCACAGTCATTCTTTGCTAGTGGTGCACTGCAGGGGGGGCATAACAAGAATGTTATTTAAATTTAGATAGCCAACCANAGATGCTACATAGAATTTAACTCATAGTTTTAGTGACTGTAAAACCATTGTCTTGTATAAATGGCTTTCTCTTTTCATCCATGAACATTTTTTTCTTTGAGGAAATTTTTCAAATGAACAGAAGATATGCACCAATTTTTAATTAGGTTCACACTTGCCCTTAGTCACATGGAAAGTATCACATCTTATTGAAATTAAACTGGAAACAATATTTTCACATTATTCCGGAGTAGTGGATTTTTCTCAGTAATTTTTTTGCCTCTTCATTTTTGAAACCTGAAATAAAAGGCTGAAAGTAAAAACAAAACTCATATGTATAGAGCCTGTATTTCAAAACCTTGCCTTGATTTTGTGAAAACCCATATATCTAAAAACCACAGTACCCTAATAGTCTGGTACTTTATTTGAAATTGTTTGTAACACTTTATTACAGCTTCTGAACAAAGAGTGGCACTGCCATAATTGAAGTTATTACAGCCTGTGCATTCAATTTTTTACCCCTGTGGTCTTACAAGCCAATAGGCCTTGAAATCTACTTGTCTAAAAGGGAAAACTACTGTGCATACGAGATTCAAAATACCCAATAAATAGATTGTACATAACACCTAGAAATACAATAAATTACCTTTTACCACCAAAACATTGGCTATCTCATTTATTCTTAATTATCTATGCCTGCCTTTATACAGGTGAACCTTCATAGATGGATAGCCTCAGTAATAATTTTTTCATACTAACTAACTTCAAATGTTGGAGCAGATTCATTAACCAATTGAAAGCATGGGGAAAATCCATTTTATGGCACTTATCCTGCCAAAATGAACAGTTGTAATCCCTTTAATCAGTATTGGGTAGCTCAAGTTAAAATCTATAGATAGTGGACAATGGAAAAAAATACTCTAAAACAACTCCAGACTGGTAACTTTTAAAAATCCATTTTTGTTACTAGTCTAACACTAAATCTACCACTTAATTGTGTTGGCCCATTGGCTAGTGTTATGATCTTATTCCTACATGATGGATTTTTTCTTTTGCAGATGTCTGATGCCATGGAAATGATGATCCTCAGTATCCTGGGGCCAGCATTACACTGTGACTGGAGTCTGGAGGACTGGGAGAAAGCTCTCATTACAACTGTAAGGTTTATCAATGAAACAGGATCAGATGCATTATGCCTTTGTTGAAAAGTTAAAGTAATTTTGCTGTGAAGTGATTTTATAATTTTGTATTCAGCTATTGAAAAAGGGCAGCAATGTACCGGTTTAGCATCTCCTCCTAAAAATAAATGAATAAAATTTTCCTATCAGATTTTTTAGGCATGACATTGTTTATAGTCGAAAAAAAGTTTAGTGTTTTTTTTTTAATTTTTTTCTTTTTACATCTATCTCTCTATCTGTCTATCTATCTATCTATCTATCTATCTATCTATCTATCTATATAATTTTGTTCAATTTCAGATTGTTTTTGTTGGTATGATGGTGAGCTCTGGGTTGTGGGGGACCATATGTGACAAATATGGAAGAAGGATGGTAAGGAAAATGTTTATTAATTTGTTGGTTTTTGCTGAAAGTTTGGGCAATATTTGTAATTAAAAGTTGTCACCAGTTTTAGCTGGCAACTATCACATTCTGTTGGTTTATTATTTCGCATTTGAAATACGTATATTTTTTTATTTTTGTCTAATTTTTGATGAACTGAAAAAGACAGGCATTGTCAGTCAAAAATTAGACAAATAAAAAATGTCGGGTACTATCTGTGATATGATAAAACAGAATGGATAATGGATTTATTCTGTAAAAACTAATTGCTAGAAGCAGAAAGACTAGGATAATGAACAAGATTTTATACTTATCTTACAATTCACTAGTTCATCACTGATTTGGTTTGAAATAAAGTAATTGGACTCAGCATATATTAGCTTTTGTGCTGAAGTGAAGCCCAGCTTGTGTGATCCCGCTAATGGAATTTCACGCAAAGAAGACATTCATCATATAAGTGGTATGAGCACTGACTAATAAACCTTGATTTCACCAGCCTTAACTTCCACCACAATTAGCAACATTTAAGAAATTGAGCCCGTTTTTTCTCTAGTTTAAAGGTAGTGAGTAGCGTTTATCTTGAAATGAAAGGTTGATACAGGAGATGTAATTGCCAGCGTTGTGATAATAGGATTTTAATATCATCTATGGCTTGCTGCCTTGACGAGACCTGTGGTGATGTATTGATTTTTGTCGTAAGCAGTTGCGCTTGATATTCTCCATACTGTCTTATGAAGGCATGACGAGAGAAAGCAAGTGATCTTAATTGGATTTTGATTGTTGAATTACAAGACAGCTATTTCTCAGAGCCAATTTCTTTCCCTTGAGTTGAAAAGAGTTTATTCTTTTCTTTTTGTGTGTGCGTGTTATGACTTTGTGAGACATGCTGGTGGCAGAAACTCACCTCTATACTATTATAAGCATATTTGTGTTATTTCTAGTAATTAGTGGGGAAGCATTAGGTGACCTGGGATACCATATAGATTTTGTGTACAGTAATGAGCGTGATGGCTTTTATAATTATGAAAAGGTGTATTAATTTCAGCAAGGGTTTCTTTAGGTTATGTTAGAGTGATCTTATCCCTCCTACTACACAATTCTTTACTCATTTTAATTCCTTCAAATTTACTACACATAAAATCTATTTGACTGTTTCTTATTATGTGATGCACAGCTCTTGTCTGAAATGATTAATTGCACTAATATACCATTACTACCTTAGATAATATGGCCAAACAAAGCCTAGAAAAAACTTTCATATAAACATTGCTTTATTGAATGTCCCTTAGGAACCATGCCTCAGATTATTGGTAATCAATCCAGTAGCAGTATCATTTTAAAACATTCAGATTGATATTGGTGCTCTTAATTACAAAAGTTGCTTTATTAGGGTTAATCATAATTCAGTAATTTTAGTGAGGAGCATAACATAACCCTGTGGGCAGTCTTCTTAACAGAAGTCTACACTGTACACGTCACAGATTCTGAAGATCGCAAGTTAATGTTTCTTTAGATGTACTGCCTGTGTTTAGAAAACTTCTTGATGTATACTATATTACAACTACAGATGAATCTCTTGGCACAGTCAATATACACTGCATCTTAATATTTTTAAGTATTTTCTACACTATAAAACCAGTATTTATTTATTTATTCATTTATTTATTTAGTTCATCCTATTGGGAAAAACTTTAATATGCTTTCTGTGAAAGAACAACTGACCACATTTAAGACTTATTATGGATGTTGTACTTTCAAGCATTTTATCTACAACCCTGATATTATTTCAATTGTTTACCATTGAAAGGATTGTGATAAAAAGAATAGCCCTACTATAATTTATTTATATTTGCTTTCAGTGTTATACATTTGGGCTTATTCCAATATATTTATCAGCCTATTTATCAATATTACCATAATATTGAGTAATAAATGGATTCATTTAACTTGCAGGAGTTAATTTTGAGCTCTGTGTTCACATTCTACTATGGCCTTGTCAGTTCCTTTTCTCCAGTGTACGTATGGATGCTTATACTGCGTGGATTGGTTGGATTTGGAATAGGAGGTGCTCCACAATCGTAAGTTACCATATTTATACAACCTCCACTTCCTACCCCACCCCCATTGAGGCTGATTTGGTTGAAGCTTTCATTAGACTGGGCTGTCAATTTAGTTTGTCACAGCCCAGTTGCCATTGTCATAATTAGGAAAAAATTAAGAAAGTTGCAGTTTGGGTTTACTGCGTACTTGTTATCTTGAATTTCTTTTCTGATCTATTTGTATGTAAACTTGCCCTAGAAAATGATTGTTTAAATCACTAACCAGGATTTGTAGAAGCCAAAGTTCATTCCATATGTATAAAGCACACCACCACTGATGTTTTATGCATGAGATTGTTTGCCTTTTAATGGTGTTTGAAAGTACAGTCAGAAATGTCTAAATTTACCAAGCAGTTGGCCACTATTTGCTTGTGATGAATATGTGTCGCATGCAATTTAGATGCATTGGACTCACTTAACTTTGGAATTAGATTTCACATGGATCTGCAGGGTGCTATAGAATTTTAAAAATCCATAAATCCATATTCCAATTGAAAAACAATAAGTAATGATCAGTGTTTAAGTTAGAGGCATTTTTCACTCGGCTGTATTTCAATCACTTGGACTGTGATGGATTTATTTTGACCAAAGTGGACTAAAGTTTTTGGTCTGAAAGTTTAAAATCTAAACCTCTTCTTGGACCCAGTTCTAAATGCTCCCTGTACATTTTACAAAATATTTTGGTTCCTTTTGAACTTGGTCACAATCAGTTGCCTACCATGCAATATTCATTAAATTGTTTTCACAAAAATGCCTTTTTTTTGCTATGCTATAAGTTGCAGCCATTCTGTAACTGAAAGATGTTTTGTGTGTATCATGTGTCAGCACATCCCTTTTAGGCACCATGCATGTAGAGATAATGGAATCAAGCCATTAACTTTTTTGTGTATTCCAGTGTCACATTGTATGCAGAGTTCCTACCATCAGCATCCAGGGCAAAGTGTGTAGTACTTATTGAGGTAATAAATCATATGGCTTTTATTAATTACACTTGTGATGGTAGAAAACTTTTTCATAAAAGAAATGATTTAAGGTAATTGCAAAGTAAGCTGACAGTGATTAAACTAACAGTGGATAAATGTTTTCTGTAAAATTGAAAAGAAATTAATGAATCCTGGTATCTCTTCTATAGAACTGAAACTGTGTGTTTCAAACTGAATTAATTTAAATTTAAAATTGCAGGGTGTATTTAACTCTTTTATATCAGTATTGCATTGTGTTTTGACATGTGCTCATGAGAGAAGTTTTCATATCCTGAATTTTTTTTTTTAAATTTTAACTAGATATTTTGGGCCATAGGTACCTGTTTTGAGGTCTTATTGGCTCTAATAGTGATGCCAAACTTGGGATGGAGATGGCTCCTTGGATTCTCTGCCCTGCCACTGCTCATATTTACATTAGCATGTGTGGTAAGGCAAATAAATTTCAGGTTTCCATAATGCACACTCTACCAAAGGAATTAAGTCTATAGCTACTAGCATATATTTAAGAAGTAATAAGATCCTCAAAGATTGCCTTTATGTCAATCAGTTATTTATTACATATTTTATGGATATATATATATTTGAAAGTTTTATCTTCATCTGCTTGTTTGTATAACTTTAACCTTTTGGTTGCTGTGATTTCAGTAAACTTATTATTATTATTTCAGTGGCTACCAGAGAGTGCACGGTTCGATATGGCCAGAGGTCGCTCAGATAAAGCCTTGGCTACACTTCAGAGGATAGCCAAGGACAATAATAAGCCAATGCCTCTGGGAAAGTTGGTTCACTCTGGACCCAGTAGTGTGGACCCAACACAGATTGTAAGCTATATCATTGCTGAGAGCTCCATTTCACAATAAAGTCAAATACTGGACTTAATTTGTAATTTTTTAAAGCTAAATGTTATGTCTCAAAGTCATGTTTGGGTTAGTTTAATGGCTCAAGGAATAATTTTGTTGTAGGTATTATTGAATCTGCTTTAAATTGATAATTGAATGTCAGTCACATATGCAAGTGTAATATTTATTAAAAGTACAGATGGGAAGGCAAACATAAGCAAAAAAAAGACAAATCTATCAACAGTGCAACTTTTCATTTTCAGAAAGCAAAAAGAGGAAGGCTTAAGGACCTTTTTACCCCAGAAATGAGAGTTACAACTTTTATGCTTTGGATAATATGGTAGATAGTTGTTGTGCAAGCTGCAGTTTTTTGTATATAGATTAACAATACCAAAATGTCAACAGTCAGTATGAGATGTGGTTAATCATTTAAAATTATATCAAATTAATCCATAAGTAATGTATATGTTAGATTTTTGTCAGCATTTCTTTTGATCATCCAACATTTTCTTTTACTTTTCTCCATTTTTTAGGTTTGCCAATGCATTTTCATACTATGGGATAGTTCTACTGACCACTGAGCTGTTTGAGTCTGGGGAAACATGCCATGGTTTGTTTAATTATAATGAATTATTTATCCATGTCTTTATATATTAAAATTGTGTTTAATTTACTACGAGAAAGATCTGTGTTTAAAGTATCAGTAGGTTGAGATTGATATGCAACCATACTTTTTTATGAAAAAAAAACTATTATTTTTGACCAAAAATTACATAAAATACTTATATAAAGTAAAGGTTTGTTATCCTTATGGTTGTAAAAGTATTTTAGTACAAATCACTAAGTTTATTACATTGTTTTAGTTGAATATTTCTTTTTCACATTAATTTAGTAAGTGGAAAGTTAGATGCCCCTAGCTGCTCCTTGGAGTGTAAAGTATTGACCACAAAAGACTATGTAGACCTATTGTGGACAACCTTAGCAGAGTTTCCAGGTAAAAAGGAAATCTTGGCCATTATTTTCAATTATTGTGCTTCAGAAGTAGATATAATGTTCTAATAGTTATGTAGTTAGCATGAGGTAATAACAAAGCATTTGTTCTGATTATTCATAATCGCTACTTAATTGGTGTATTTGGATGCATTAAAGGCCGTTCTTATTATCCTGTGTCATGAGGAAACCACAACTGGTGCAATTTTAAACATCATTACTTTTATATGTATTTAAGTATATGACTTTAAGACAAAAGTGTAAATTGAATGGTACATTTGATGAGGAATGCTTTTCTCATGTATATTGGTTCTTTTGTCAAAAGCATTGTGAAATACATGATAAAAGATCTTATATTTACCTGCTCCAGTGTTTCATCTGCTAAGACAAAGGTATAAATTGAATTTTACATTCTATGACAAATGGCTTTCTCATGTATAAGGGTTCTTTTCTCAATAGCAATGTTAAATATATGATCAGAGGTCTTATATTTACCTGCTCGCATGTTTTATCTGCATATCTACTTGAGGGTCTCTTGGCAATTTCACAGTGATGCTCACTGAGACTCTCAGTCTCTGTCTAGCATGGCTGTAGGGCTGAATGTTGGCCACATTTGACAACTGACTTATCATGTTCTGTTATCTCCCCCCCCCCCCCCCCCCATTGACCTATACCTGTCTCTTTAAAAATAAGTCACCACACTGTTTCTCAGTTGTCAAGGATAACAACATTATTTTTCTAGGTTTGATTCTTACTGTGTTTATAATTGATCCTCTGGGCAGGAAGAAAACAATGGGCTTTGAGTTTTTAGTGTTTTCTCTCTTCACCTTCCTCATCTGCACATGCCCAACAAGGTGAGCAGAAACATTTCTCTTGCGGTATTTATATTTGAAAAGTATATACCTTAATGTACTTATGTATGTACATAGACACGTATGTATGTTTTGAGATCTAAAATGTATTCTCACATAAAATTTTACTGCTTACTATTTTACTTGCATTAAAAGTGCAATATTGACTTTTTCGCATTATTTACAATATTTATTATGAAGTATTTGTTGATTTCTTTTTCAGGGGTTTGCTGATATTTTTCATATTTGTGGCAAGAGCATTTATATCAGGTGCTTTCCAGGCATGCTATGTGTATACTCCAGAGGTGAGAGGGATGGATTTTCTACAGACTCAGTATAAAAAAAAATATATATCAGATTTTAAAAGTTGGAGATGGAAAGCAATATAAGTCATATATAATGTGTATTGCATTCCTTATTAAACTTTTAAGAGAAGTGGGAATTTTTTTCTTTTTGTGAGCTGAAAAGGCCATCAGTTATTTTTTACAAACCCTTAAAAATCACCATCAAATGATTAGGGTAAGAGAGACTGCCTCATATTTTGTCAAATCTTTAAAAAAAAATTTTTATCTCTTTACAGTCTCATCTTTAGAGTATGTAAAGTTTTGCCTCATCACAAGTATTTCTATTCCCAGGTGTACCCCACCACCACCCGTGCAATAGGGCTGGGCACCTGTAGTGCCATGGCCAGAATTGGTGCAATTGTTACTCCCTTCGTAGCCCAGGTAAGAGCAAGTTTAATCTCTATAACTTATTTCTTCATGTATGATAATTTACAGTAAGTTCATACAAAATTTATTAAATCTGTTTATATTTGAATTTTTGTTAGTAGTGCCTAAGAACGCAATATGAAGCACAGTCACTTGAATTTTTGCAACAGTTTTTAGTAGGACTAAAAAACGAAATGTGTGTTTTGAAAAGCGAGCTTGGTTTATGTTAGAAGGTTTGTATCTGTGATAACTGATGGTGACAACAAATCTTTTTTTTTTTTAATTAATTTTTGAAATAATCATGGTCTGAATTTTAAGGGTAATAACTCTGAGCAAAAATATAATGTAATTACAAATAATAAATGATTTTGCAATATTTTAGGAACAGTATTAGTCTTGATGCATACATATATGATTTATATCCCAATGTGTCTCTCAAATTGTTTCACATGCAGTATTTTGTTCACAAAAACATGAAATTCGGTTGGGATTTTCCAAAGGGCAAGTGTTAGAGAGGACACACTGGGATAATATCATAAATTCTTCTATAGTGGATCTATGATCAATATTTATTGCATTGTGTGCAATTTAGTTCCTATCTGATAAGCCCAATAAATACAGAGGTCTGTCAGTAGTAAATGTTAAGGAATTCACCAGAGACCCCTGGTAGAGGGGAAGGTTGATGGATCTGGCAATAGCACTCAATGTAAGAGACTGCATGGGTAATTTGTCACAAGTTTCAAATACTTCATTGATATCCAGCATGTAGTTTTCCAAGATCAAAACCTTTCTGCTCCTGAGAAAAAATGTGTCTAAATTAATGATTCTAATTTGTTTAGTATAAAAAAGTATTAACGAAGTTGTATTTGGGGAAATACAACTTAAAATTTGAATTATGTTTACATGTGTTTTGTGTACTATTTGGGCTTCTCACTTTTTAGAATATTTTTTTTGTGTATGTGTCTATTTTGCAAGTTGGTGGGATTTTACATGCTGACCATGTATAAAGATGAACTATATTATCAGAGGCTATACCAAAGACTATTGATCTCATTTGTTTCAGGTTTTATTACGGACATCAGTGTACTTAACTGCGTCTATATATGGGGGAGTGTGTATAGCAGCAGCAATAGCCTCCTTTCTTTTACCCATAGAAACAAAAGGAAGAGAAATGAAGGTAAGGACATTACTTTGGTTTCATCTACTAAGTCTAGTAAAAGTCACATTTTTGTTTCCCTTTGATGTTCCGCATATAAAATGTGGAGTAGATTAGAATATCTTGGTTGCATTTCCCTTAGTTGAGTTCTGCACACCCAAATTTTATATACATTGTACATCAGGTATGATTTAGGCTGTCTTCTGGGTCTCCGGGAAGACGGTCAGGTTTTCAAGTTTACATTGACGAGTATCTAATTTTTTCTGTCGGAAGACTGTCAGAAATGGATGATGGATCAATAAAAATAATTTGTAAGCCTGTCAGAAAATATCTCTGGATCCGCCCCTGATCACCCTGAGCTTCAGAGATAACTTGACACTAACCTCTTCACTATAGCCTATCTTCCTCGTGTCAAGTTACCTCTGACGAAAATAGTTTGACCTAGTTTATATAAGCCAATCGAATCCAAGTTTCAAAATTTTTCACCAAAGTTTGGTGAAAACGCTGATTGGTTGACCGTCAATCGGCAATCCTCGGCTGATTCCACAAGCTCCATGCTAACAACAAAGTTATTGTCAAGTACGGAGACATCCGAGTAGTTCCGAGTGCATAACCGTACACAAAGAAAGCATGGCGTCTCCTACGAGTGACTACGTAAAATAATGTGTTAAGTTTTCTCTTGATTCTTTGCAAAATATGAGTATATTGGAATTGAAACCAGAGCAGTTTGAGGCCCTGCATCATTATCTACTGAGGGATGTGTATTTTGCGTGCTGCCCACAGGTTACGGCAAGTCCCTGATATTCAGCCTTATCTTTGATTGGTCCGGATTTGAACAAACGTTCGCGTTCATTGGCTAGATTGTTCAATGAGTCATTGAGTGCGGGCTTTAAATTTGATTGGTGGGCGGCGGGGGCAATCGAATGTGGTCAGAGGTAACTTGACATGATGAAGATAGGCTATAGTGAAGAGGTTAGTGTCAAGTTATCTCTGAAGCTCAGGGTGCCCCTGATATGTTTTAACAAATAAATTTAATACTTATGGTACCATGAATCCCCAAACCTTAGTCCAAATCTTGTACCATATGTTAGTAAGCATTACTTTATTTATAAACAACAAGCACTCAAGCATCTACATTTTGGTTGCCAGTAACATTTGCCCACTCCTTTTTGAGCCAACTCCACTTTGGGGTCATTGGATTTACTTCCACAATTTTGACAGAAGTACTATGAAATTATCTTTAATTACAGAACTTTAAAATGGCATGTTATTGAAGTATGGCTAATTAAAGGGGGTAAACATGTCTTAAACTGTCAGGTGATATGTTTATAGTTGATGAGTATTTTGAGTAAGAATTGCCATGTCAAGGTTTGAAGTATAATCTTCATTGTGGTGTCTTTGCAAGGTTGAATTGAAAAAAAAAATAGGCAAGTCTTAGCATAACTCATTATTATTCAGCTTTTGTCAGGTCATTGACCTCTGCTTTCTGTGTGCAGAGACCATAAACATGTTAGTCGTGTACTGGGTGTCACCCTTTACTTGACTAACATGGTTACCGTGTTATTTATAGCAAAGATGTATTAGCATATTTTCTTGTTAATAGCGCATTTATATTTTGCATTTGTATTTCAGGAATCTCATGTAGATACCACAGTTGATGTTCTGCCTCCAGTTGTCCATTAGCTAACATCTTGCCATCCTGACTCTCAGGAGGTAGAACCTCACCATGTCAGCAGTCATCATTGAAAAGAAAGGGACATTATGTTTCAGCGACATGTTTCCCAACAAAACCAAGTTTTTAGTTTTAAACTACAAATGCTAAATAATAATAACCAAATGTACATGGAGTGTACTTAATAACAGTGGTCTAAAATGGTTCCCAAATGGATATAAGAAATATGCTATACATACCAAATAAGCATCTGGGAGTAAAATTCAACTTAAAAAAAGTGGAATTTGGTCTAATGCGGTAAGCGACTTACCAGATTCTTTGCGTAATCCAACTTATTCTGCTACGATTCTTAGCAGGCTTAACTAACAACACCAGCCTTTGACATCAGTTCTATTATTGCCAGCAGGGTTCAGGGTGCAGATTCTAAAAGCACTGGGTAACTTTCAAATGGTGGCTTATATCTGCTCTGTTGAGGGCACTGATAGATCCACTTGTCCGTTTTGGTCTACTATTTCTCTTAACATTTATTTGGACCTACCTGTTCAAGCCAATTTTGCTTAAGTTGTGGAAAAAAATTAATCTGCACCCTGTAGATGGTATATGCTAGTTTATTTTATAAGAGGTGGGATTCCTTGCTCCTGTGGTATTTGCTGTAAGGCAACTTAGTTATATAGATGTTTTTGTGTGGTAATGAAAGAGTAAAGACTTGTTCTGAGCTGGGCTAAAGATCAGAGATGAAAGTGTACTGGATTTATCCAGAAATCCAGATATAGGGTGTATGTTTAAAAAAAATTATGAAAAATCCCTCCAATTCCAATATAGCAGGAATATATAGCTGTATTCCTTCAGCGCTTGCATTTTCAAGATTTGTTTTGAAAAGGTCCACTTTCATCTCTGATCAGTTGATATTGAATATGAATGCCCTGTGCCAAAAAAAGGGGGAAAACAGTTAAAGTATTTATTTATAAGTTTTTCAGTAGAAATTGTTGTATGTTGTTATCTGTACTCAAAACCACTAAATACTTTTAACTTCTAATTCTTTGTCGTTTTTTCCTGATCACACCATTGAAAGAAAATGGGGTCATTATTTCTATAAGGTGATGCAAAACCTTTTGCTGCCTTTTGAATATTGGTCCTCTTCAAGGTTTTGATGTTTGGCGTGGACAGGCTATCATGGTGACTGTAAGGTATCTTGTACCTAATAAGCTAGTATATATCAAAGAAACCAAGTTCTTGTTTATTTTTACCTAAAAGTACAATGGAGTGCCATCTTTATTTTTGCTCTGTTAATTTTTTTCACTTCAGAGTACTTCTTGAAAGATGACATTCCACGTGGATTTGTGTTAAATGACACGTACCCTATGGTGCACCAAGGATTAGTTATATGTAATATTGGTAAGGTATTGAGAAAATCTTTTGAACCAGAGAATGAAGATAAATAGTTTTCTTGTCAAAAGAAGATAGACATATCAGAGAGTATAAATCATGTACTGGTTAGAATAAACTGAATTGACAAGCATCTTTTTTGCATAATATACAAGGCAGTCTTCGAATATAGTATCAGCCTCTTATACTCTGGTTTTGGGCAGTTATAATTTGCTTTTATATAATGTTATTTATTTCATGATAAACAAGTGATATTTAAGTTAAATGCTTTTCTAGCTGAAATATTTTGTTTTATGCGCCTTTATTGATATTTTTTTATAGCTCATTTTAAGGGTTTTAACTATGTTTTGTTTGAAGGATAACATGGTATATTTTAGTATGAAAAAATTACCATTTTTGGTTTTGTTTTTAAAATTATATATTTTCAAATAAAAGATCAAGCATAAAACTCACCTTTAGATAGAAAGACGCATTTCTCACAAGAATCAATATTATGTATTGTAAAAATGTTAGCGTATATTTACAATGTATACCAATGTCAGAATTTTAATTTAAACAAGGTACTTTAGAAGTAGAGAGAACACAACTGATGCAAGGTTGACCCGAAGTGTGCATGCATGCACGCACACACACACACACACACACACACACACACACACACACACACAGTGAATGCATGAAATAATAGGCAATAGAATGTTAGACTGCCAATAGACCATTGTTCACGACTTGGGTGATCATTGCATACTTGTCTACTGATAGCTAATGGGGAACTACTGTGATAATCACAATTGCCGTTCAGGTACAAAACATCTCTGTTTTTACTGGCACAATTTATCTAGAAAATGTTGAAAGAACTACATTCCATGCCATTATGAAGAACAAACCAATCCAAGAGATTACTCTACAGACTTTTGAATTTTAGCATTTATTTATTACTTTTTATGTTACTATAGATATACATATATATTTATTGTACAGTGTTTGATGTTATAGATAAATGGATATAATTGTGAGCAGCAATTTTTGTGTTGTGTATTGACATGTAAGGTTAATTGTTACCTAAATGGTTGTTGAAGAAATAATAAATGGTTAGAAAGTTTACAAAATGTACTTATGTAATATTTGTGCAGGATTATGCTGAATGTGTAATATTGTGGCCTGTGAACATGATATATTTCAAAATAAGACTTAAGTATACACAGTAAATTTATTTTAAAAATTGCACCGCTTAAAAGACACCATCACAGCTTTTCATTGATGTGAAAACCTCCAATTAAATGTGTTTTGATTTCATTTTAATAATTCAAATTTCCAATCATTCAAGTTGTATTAAAATTCTTTTCAAACGTGGTTTAGTCAAGGCAAAGTTCAGTGCCATATCTCATGCTTTAACATGATGTCACCTTTCTGTATTTTCACATTTAGCAAAGTTTTGATAAGGGAAAATGACAAGATTAAAAACTTTGAATGTCCTTTATATTGTCTATTTTAATGTTTGAAAAATGGCATACACACATACTAATATATACATATTTTAAAATATAAATATCAGTTACAAAACTCTTTATTATTAATTGTCAAAATGATACCTAGACACTAATATTATCTCTGCATGGTCATCATAAAGGACATAGCACATGCCTTGTGAGCACTGACCCATGACCAAACTAATCAAAGTGGTCAGGTGCACCCATCAAATATAAAGTGAGGGTTCCACTGGGGGATAGAGCTCAGGGGAAAGAAATTCATCAATTCACAAATCTCAGGAAATAAAACTAAAAAAAATTTGTATGTTGAATTGAAAATGCAGGAAATATGAGTTGAAAATCAAATCACAAAGTATAATGACTTTGTTTTACAAATGACGAAAAATAAAAAGGTGCATTCACAAATCATGGGCATGGGGCTCTACATGGATCACACTAAATAATATGAACATTTCACACATCCTGGGGAAATAAAAAGTGGCTTTCACAGGCCATGACGATACTCAATGGGACCCTCATAATTAAGGTGGCTATCTGATTTAGGAAGTGATGCTTGGTAATAGCCTAATAGTCAGCATAATGTGTCTATACCAGCACATGTGACCTATATAATACAAACCACAGTGAAAACAAAGCTGAATATTATATACTCCACTTTATATGTGGGCAACAACAAATATATCCCTAAAAGTCACGGATGCACTTATGGTTAGGAAGCAATCACAAAGGTGACAAATGTTCAATTCTTTGAGAAATAGACTTGCTAAGATCAAGCATAAGGAATATGACAATATTGATGGAGATAGTAATGGACAGGGACACACTGCACAGGGGGACAAGACACCAAACTCCCAGGAAGATGTTTGTTTGGAAACATTCTCCCCTAAAGCAGAAGGAACTGAAGACACACAGGAATTACGGCCAGGTAATAGACTGAGTTTGCTATTAGGATATTTACCTTGGAATGTTTTTGATAAAGCTGTCATAATTTTGGGAACAATTTATATGGCTGGCATTGAGTTGTTTGACATAACAGTAACTGCTACATATTATAAGCCAGTGGTTAGTTTAGACTTGATGAAGGTTTGAATATTTTCTCAGTTTAACTTAAGTTACTGGAGGCATTACATCTTATACAAAAGTAAGTTTGAGTGTAAAAGCTTGGATGCAAAAATATATTACATGATATAGAATAAACCTCTGACATGTTATGTCATTCATTTCCTGACCAACATCATGGACATTATTATGTCCAAGCCAACATGAAGAACTTTTTGCATTCAATGCATACATCTCCTCCATCACAAATAGTATGAATTTTATGAAAGACATGAAGGACAAACACATAGATATCTGTTGCCAAACTTATATGAGACTTTACAAATCTCCTTGCAATTAATTCATGATGGTAAACCATGAGTTTACACGAGTAAGTGAATTTTCCTTGGCACCACAGTACCAAATTTAATTTATCGTCTGAATGTGTACCAGTATATATATTAATTTACCAGACTGAGTGTATAATAGCCTTCTGTGCAGTAATAAAAATGTACCTTTCCATGCACTGCAGAATAGCGTAAAATATTTACCATGTTTAATATCCAGTCATACATAATATATATATATATATATTGCCTGCCTGCATGAAATTAATAAAATAAAATTTGTTTCATAAAAATAGATGTATAAGTGTGGATTTTATATATGCACCATAAATGTAGTGATTACAGATTTGCATATTTTATTTAATGCTATTTTAACAGTAAGAGTCAATGAATTATTAACTTTGCATTAATTTCAATTTCTGAATTATTTCAGACACATTCACAGTTGAACAGGCCGTGGATGCTATTGGATTTGGCAAATTTCAAGTCAAGTTATTTTTCGTTGCAGGTTTAGCATGGGTAAATATTTTTTAGAAATTAATTTTATCATTATAATTATCTTTACGTAAACAAACTTTCATTGTCATGAGAGTGCACAAAGTTAAAAATTCAGGTCATAGAATGTTCCTCAGATATAAAGTAAAGTTTCCCCCATGTTCAACGTATGTGCCAAAAAAAAAAAAAAAAAAAACTTAAAATGTGCATAAAGTGCCCAATCTTAACCTGGCACAAATAATAATTTCAGCATTTCTTTAAGGCACTGCAATCACCACATAGATTGTCTTAAGTTACAAAATAAATTTGCCATCAGATACGTTTGTCATTATCGAATGGGGTTAAATTTCAATGTCTTGTCAGGTTTGTGATGCCATGGAGATGATGTTACTCAGCGTACTGGGCCCCGCATTGCGCTGTGAATGGAATCTGCAAACATGGGAAGAGGCCCTCATCACCACTGTAAGTTATACAAAACGAAAAAAATTAAGACAATACCTTTTCAAATTAAAAAAATGTTTGTAACAAATGAATAAGTATAACATTGTCTAATATATTTCTTTAACACAATACCTTTTCAAATAAAAAAAATGTTTATAACAAATGAATAAGTATAACCTTGTCTAATATTTTGGGGGGATTAAGGCATTTTATGAAAACTGACAGCAATATTAGTTTTGTTTCAAAAGTGGGCAAATATATTTCTATATATCTAATTTTAAAACTCTTGCCACCCAGGTTGTTTTTATTGGTATGTCAATCAGCTCTTGGATGTGGGGATCAATGTGTGATAAATATGGAAGAAAAACGGTAAGAATGGTTCAAATATAATAAATTTCATTCTTTGCTTGCAGGGATTCATAACTCTTACATTCATAGTTTTTGGGTGAAATCTAATTTTACTGGCCCTATCATGTTTTGGAGAAACACAGGATTGTTGGAATGTATCCCAGAAGTCAAATGTAGAATTTTCCTTGAAGTTGATACGTACACACTTTCAGCGGCAGCAGGAAAAAGGTTAAAAATGTCATAGGTGACAGATTTTACTCAACTAAATTTTTACGACAAGAAGGGAGATTCGAGTTACAAGCTGCAACATAGTTGCAAAAATTCAGCAACATTCACAGGGGTTTGGCAGTGAATTGGGCACACTGGATCTGTCTGTGAAGCAGTTCTCAAGAAAAACGCCCATGTGGCTTGCATAAGCAGATAATCCAAGTTTTTCTGCACATAACCCCTAAAGATTTTAGAAAAACTAATTTGGGATGTTTATAAAGTGTTAGCTTTCTTATTTTCTCTTACTTGTCCTTCAATCAACATCTAGATAAGTACCAAATCATGATCTTTTTTCAGACCTTGATTACAAGTTCCATGTTTGTATTCCATTATGGGCTACTGAGTACCTTCTCCCCTAGCCTAATATGGATATGGATATTAAGAGGACTGGTGGGGTTTGGAATTGGAGGAGCTCCACAAGCGTAAGTGTATCACTGAATATTTTTTGATTATTTCTAACTGTCATCAATAAACTCAAATTGGTAGTTCAGGCTGAAGTGTAGTTTTTGATTGATGATTGAAGAAAATTCCATACAATATGGGCCTTTGAAGCCTATAAACACAGGTACATGGCTCAACTTTGTCAAATATGTCATTACTGGTACTCATAATGGATAAAACTTTAGAGTGTTACCCTCTCCAAACATTTTTGCTTCTTAAAATGAATTTATATACAATAGTTTCCTTGTGGAGATTTGTATGCTAAGGGTTCCTGCCATGTGTTTAAGGTAAAATTGTTGGAAATTTCAATGTATACATGTAATTTTTGTAATAATATTCATAATAAAATTCATAATAATATTACTTTCAAAGATTTGTATTTTGTACATATTGACTTGATATGTTCCAGTGTCACTCTGTATTCAGAATTCCTCCCATCCACATTCAGGGCCAAGGGTTTAGTGCTTTTTGAGGTATGTTATCCTATTATGCTATGCTGGGAGGGACGATGTTTTATTTTAACTTAATATTATTTTGTGATGCTGTGCCAGAAGAGATAAAGTATTATATGTGATATTGCGCTAAGAGAGATAAAGTGGTTTGTTTGGAATTGTGTCAGGAGGGAAAATTGTGCTGTGTGTGATTTTGTACCAGGAGTGAACAGGTGTTTTTGAGTCAAAGGAGGGCATTGTGTTGTGCTGTGAAAGTAGTGAGGTAGGTGAGAAGGCACTGGAAATACATTAAAGCAGTCTTTTTAATACGCATTCAACATTTTAGTGAAAACATGAAACAGAGTTATAACAAAAGTAGTCAATAATGAGGAACTCCTTATCTCAACAATGTTTTACTACACATTTATAGATGTTTTGGGCAGCTGGGACCTGTATAGAGGTTGCTTTGGCTGTAATAGTGATGCCTACCTTGGGTTGGAGATGGCTGCTTGGACTTTCTTCTGTGCCTGTGTTAATTTTCATATTAGCATGTTTGGTAAGCAAATACATTAAGCAAGAATATTTACACAAATGCAAAATTTTGTTATTTATTCACATCTTGTCATGATTTTTGTCACTTAAAGTGGTGGCCATATAAAAGTAAGAATATGATGATAAGTCACATTAAAATAAGATGAAATAGAAGAAAATTGTCTGTTGTCAAATTAAAAAAAATTATATTTCAGTGGCTTCCAGAGAGTGCAAGATATGAAATGACCAATGGTCGGCATGATGTTGCCTATGCCATTATAGAAAGAATAGCTAAAGACAATAATAAGCCCATGCCTCAGGGGAAATTGATACATGCTGGATCTGTAAATCCAGAACAAGTGGTAAGCGATTTTGGGAATAAAACTTGTTCTTGTTCACATACCCATAATAAATACTCTCTTTACTCTAACAAACTTTTAACCAACTAAATATGAATTGGAAAACTTGCATTCATGAAGTCTCATATGACTGGTTTTGTTATACAGTTCTCAAAGACAAAAAATGATATTTCAAGGGTGCCTGTTTAGTTCTTTTACATATTTTAAACCAAACAAATTTAAAGCTTTGTTCTTCTTTTCAGGAAGTGAAGCGAGGAAGAGTGCAAGACTTATTCACACCAGATTTAAGAATAACAACAATAATACTGTTGGGTCTATGGTACTGTTTTAACATCTTTTTTTTAACTAATCATAATAATAACTTTTTTTATAAATAAATATCACTATCAGTTCAAAAATAATTAACTGTAATACCAACTTTTTTTCAAATCTTTTTTCCTCAGGTTTAGTTCTTCCTTCTGTTACTATGGCATAGCTTTATTGACAACTGAACTATTTGATGAAGAAAATCCCTGTTACAGTTCAGGTAAAGTCAAAAATTGAGATTCACATGTATTTTTGTTTCTTTACAATATCAATAACTATACAACTTTTTATAGTTATTTTTTTATAAATGGGAGCTTATGACATTAATATTTATGATTATTCTTCTTTGTATGTAAATGAGATACTAATTTTTTCATTGTTATGTATTTTTAGTAGGCCAAAAAGTTCAAGAATCAGGCTGTTTCCTAGACTGTAAAATGTTAACCACAAAAGACTACCTAGACCTGTTATGGACCACAGTGGCAGAGTTTCCAGGTAAGTAACTGTTTAACTGTCATCATACTACCAATTACATCATTAGATGATTGGCATGAATTTTTGTGTACAGACACAGATGTGTCTGTACATATAGCCATCATCTGCGTCTGTCGTCGCTGTCGCCGTCGCTGTCGCCGTCGTCGCCGTCGCCGTGCACTTTTACTGATAACACGATAAGTGGAAAACTGTTTTTTCTTTTGGCTTGAAACTTACAGAACTGATGAATATTCGTAATACGCAGGTCAAGTTCGAAAATCAGCATGATCGGGTCACTTAAAGGNACAAATTTCTGTTATTTTCAAAATATTTCTCTATTCTATTAATGAACAAAAAAATTCTATAATTCCTCATTTTCACTTGATTGAGTGCAATGGGGCCTTAAATTCCTGCATTTAAAAAATGTTTTTTTTTTTGCAAAAAAATATAAATAAAAAAGATGATAATAATAATATCAATAATAATTATTATAGTGAACATTTTTGTCATAGGTCAGATCATCACCTTACTAGCCATTGATTATTTGGGCAGGAAGAAAACCATCGCACTAGATTTTTTTGTCTTCTCTGTATTTGTTTTATTAGTCTGCACTTGTCCATCAAGGTAAGTCATTATCATTTTTATATCAAGTTTTAATATCAGGGTGAATGAATATTACATAATTGACTTTTTCACTGGTGACTGCACATACCATTATTACCTTTTTTTAAATTGTATTATGTGATATTATTTGATGCAGTAAAAGTTTCACTGACAATTTTGGTTTTCGAATTTCAGGACTGTGCTGATAGTTTTCATATTTGTGGCAAGAGCTTTCATATCAGGTGCTTTCCAGGCATGCTATGTGTATACTCCAGAGGTAAGCAATATACTACAGCATCATGTGTTTTTTTTTTTTTTTTTCATTTTTCATTCTGTCAAAACTTTCTACCTTAGACCACACCTTAGACCTATTCCCATAGACTCCATCAGTCTACTGCTACCTAGATTTACCCAGCTCTGCGGGGAATCTCACTGAGTGCAATCAGCTTAACTGAAATACGTGCCTCCTCTAGTTTCCAATGTACTCGTATAATCACCACTTTTCCATATTCTATTTAATGCAAGGAGGAGGCGTGTTACTTTGTTGAACTGATTACATTCAGCAAGAGCCCCCTCAGGGGTTTGATCAGTCCAGGTAATGAATGGTGTCTATGGGAATGGAGCCTTACATGGACAGAGTTCTAAATGAATTTTAAAAAAAGATAAAAGTGCAATAAATCTTGATTATAGCTCTAGATCGTAATTTTCCCCAGGTGTACCCCACCACCACCCGTGCAATAGGATTGGGTGTATGTAGTGGTATGTCAAGGATTGGTGCAATGATAACTCCTTTTGTGGCTCAGGTGAGAGGATTAAATTTTTTATTGGAATTCAATTCATTTTTATTCAAATTTTAATTCAAATTTAAAATATTTAAATGTGTAAAGTGAAAGTTTTAGCCAGTTATGACACTTCAAATCTTGCATATACCATGTATACTCCGTTATCCTTATGCAATCTTTGTTATGCTTATGCAATCTCATTTTTATTTCTCATTTTTAGGTTTTATTACGCACATCAATATATATCCCAGTTTCTATATATGGAGGTATAAGTATAGTCACCACCATAGCAGCACTTTTATTACCTATTGAAACAAAAGGGAGAGAAATGAAGGTTAGCACAATCCATGTATCATTTTTTCAATATCAAAGTGAAAGTTTTGATTCATCCAGATGTATTATACTTAGATAATGAAAAAAGTTAATCCTAACACTGGATCTTATGTTAGAATAGAGATCAATACGTTTTGACCTTGTTTCTCAAGGTCTTCCTCAGGTGAACAGATTTCGAGTTGTCACTGCTGTCATGTGGTGACAGTCTGCATGGGATGTCTCTCAGGGCCTGGTCCCACAGATGTGGTAGTTGTCATCTAGGGCCACTGTGCTTGGTGAGGGAGGTTTGTTTAACGATTGGCCTCTTTCACTCCTCATCTAAACCAGTCACCAGTGACAATTCAAAATAAGTTCATCTGAAGAAGGCCTTGTGATAAGGTCGAAACATCATGATTTATGTTTCAACATAAGATCCAGTATTAGAATTGAATTTTTTCCTTGTCTTTTTTTTTTTTTAATTTGAAAATAATATCACAGGATTTTTATAAGAAGTGACATCTGTGTCTCAGAGAACATTGAGTGTACATGTTTCATGCAGTTTTCCTCACCTGACAAAGAAGCCAAAACTACACTTTTAAGCATTTTCATTTTACTATTCCAGGACACTCACTGACCTGCAGATTGCCATCCATCTAGTAGTAAATGTCAGTGACCCACACAAAAACAACTAAGACTTTTCTCAGTGATATTTATAAATCATTTATTGGGTTATTATTAAGTCATTAAATTATTTCTGCTTGTAATTGATAGTTTTCATTTATGATCATTTAATTATTGTCTGTCTCTGTATCATTATGGTGATATTTCATTGTTATNTTTGGAATACTGTCAGAGAATATCTCTGGGTCCGCTCATGTTATTGACCAATTTTACCTGTTGTGCATGATTATAAAATTCAGTGTTGACTGATAGTGCTATTATAAGCATTATTTATTATTGCATCAAAATTAACAAAATGACCTTTTTTGCATCTTTATTTTCTGTTTTTTGTCTGTACATTTGACAGCTTTGCTGCCTTGTTTATTATAAAGGTTTGAGGTAAAATGAAAATTAAATTTAAAAAAACAGAAATTATTAAGTATAACTGTCTATAAGTTCTAGGGAGGAGTCAGTATAAGAAAAAATGTTACTCATTACAAAATATAAAAATTCAGATTAACATCGATTTCATCAAATGGTGCAAAAGTGCAATAATTTTGAAAATATAGGTTTTATTCATAAATTGAAAATGTGATACAATATAACTGTTATGAAATTTCCATAATAAGCTATTACTGAATTCTAAAAATGCAATTTATGTTTCTAGTATTTTCTAAAATTTACCTCAATAAAATTATTGATGAATGAAGCACACTTTCTGTTTATACTATCAAATACATATTGTGATCGTTGTTCCCTGATTGTTCATTTCATTTATCACATCGTATTATGCTTTCTTGGCCATCTTCAACTTCTGAATCTCTGAGTTCAAAACCTGTGTGACCTTAATAGCTTTCTCTGCATCCTTCCCTCCCATCAAATTTAAAGCTTTCTCTGCTGCTTGGCGCACATCTTTAATTGGTTCATTTCGCCTATAGAAAAAGAATTTTGAAATTCTATATCCTTTAATTCACTAAATCCTCCAGTTCATTAAAAATTAGACAAACATTTGTAACCAAATACTGGAGCTGGTAAATATTCCACATCTACCAGTTAAAACTTTGTTATTGGTTCAATCAATCTATACTCTAAAGACAAATCATACTCTGTAAAATCATCTTTTTGGTGTGAAAACTCTACACATATGAAAGTTTGTTATGAAACTGGGCTGTTTTTCCCTAAAGCTACACTCTAACTAAATTATAAGTTATAAGTGAGCTAACGTACCATACTTCCAACAGAAGACCTATGGCTTTCATAACTTTCAGTTTTCCAAGAGAGATGCATGTTGCCTCACGAACCAAACGGTCTTCATCCTTAAGAGCTTTGATTAGGGAATCAATAACTCGAAAGTCATTAGTACCTAAAAATATTATTACAGGTAAGTTAGTGAGGTAACTGAAAAAGTTAGAAACAAATTGCCCTCTTTAACAATCACTTTTTTATTCAAGTTAAATATCACCAAGAACGCTTGATTTCAACACTTTTTTTTTAAGAATTGGCTGTACCTGTTCGTCCCAGAGCAAGAGCTGCCACAGCTCTCATATTTGGATCTTGATCTCTTATAAGTGTTAGCAGCATGTGTCTCACACCAGAAGTATGAAATGAGTCTAAAAATAAGAATATATATATGTAGTTAGTAATTGAAGGTACCATAAAAGTATGAGAATATTGCAGGGGTGGATTGAAGCTGTCTTCTGGGCCTTACGGAAGATGGACAAAAAATAGTAGATGGATGGACAGGGGCGGATTTAGGCCGTCTTCTGGGTCTTCCGGAAGACGGTCAGATTTTTAAGTTTACATTGACGGGTATCTAATATTTTCTGTCGGAAGACGGTCAAAAATTAAGGACGAATTAACAAAGAAAATCTGGAAGACTGTCAGAAAATATTTCTGGATCCGCCCCTGATGGACAAAGATAATTTGGAAAACTGTCAGAAAATATCTCTGGATCCCCCCCTAAAAATTGCACAGGTTGAACCGAATTTCTAAGATCATGATTAGCTGTGAGGCACTGCTCCATTAAACATACCTTTTCTTTAAAATGCCTATATTAATTTATGGATTCCGTAAGTTTCCTTTAAATATTTTTATCAAACTGATCAATTCTAGTTAACTTCATGAGCATTAATGTCTCCGTCTTAAAAACATACCCAATAGTATTTGTCAATTTAGTTTAGACACACATTTATAATTTTGCCCTACCTAAATTTCTGACTGCTGTCAATCTAACTGAGCTGTCCATACTGAATACTTCTTTCATGGCAAGATAAGCCACTGCATATTCAGTCATTCTATTGCAGAAAATATCTCTGCGATTGTAGGCTACGTCTGTTGTGCCACAAAATCTATCATAGACATTTCTTGCAATGTGTTTCCTTAACTCAAAAATATCTTGATAGATCAAGTGAGTGATCCATTTGGTTCTGTCATCATTTTCATCCCCAAATTGTTCTTTTAATCTTTCACCATAGTCACTGACAAAACGCTCTCTGAAGTCATTCCACGAAACCTCAGTTTGGTTGGCAAAGTGTCTGTCCCAGAAGTCAATGTTTTCTGAATCTCCCTCTGAATTGGCACTTTCTGTTTTACTGGTCATTCTGCTGAAATTAATTCTATACGTTCCCTCCAGCCTAGCAAGCTCTTCCTGTCTTGATTTAAACGAGTCGATTTCAAACTTGATTCCACTTATAAGGCCAGGAAGGTGTTCCGACTCATGTTCTTTAGTGACAAAAAATGTCCAATTGATCTTGGCCAACATAAGTTTCCTGCAACAAATATGATGAGTATTATCCTTTGAAAATAAAGAAAAAAATCTACATCTGATTCAGCGAATCAAGGAAATATTACACAACATCATTTATCTAAATCAGTACAGAACTATATTTGAAAATAAAAGAATTTTGATTAAAGTAAAGCACATAAGCTGTGTATATATGTACATTCCAGGGGATAGGCGGGATGCAATTTTTCCATAGTACTTCAGCCCAACAGGAAAAACTGCTTTATTAGATATGTATGCCAAAGACACTTCATCTTGCAGGTGGTGGTCCACTGCTGCTTCTTCACTTAGCACCTGGACAAGGACCTTGAGACAAAAGAAAAATATGGTTCAATTATATAATTATAATACTAAATGGAAGTTTTATTTTGTATAGATCCACAAAATATCTTTGATTGATGCATTTTTTGCAACCTCTCTGCCCACAAAATCAAAAGTTAAAAATCACATTTAGAAATAACAGTTACTTTCCATATTACTGCATGAGATATCGAATTTTAATGTATGCCAACTTTTAAATTATTTTTCATAAAAATGATTCCAAAATGTCCATCTCTTGGAGAATATTTTGTGTCTAAAGCACTTGTACACAAACAACAGTGCAATTAAGATATATATCAGGAGCGGATACAGAGCTATTTACTGACAGTCTTTCAAATTATCTTTGTTGATTCATCCTCCAATTTTGACCGTCTTCCAACAGAAAAAATAGATACCTGTCAATGTTAACTTGAAAATCTGACCGTCTTCCGGAAGACCCAGAAGACGGCCTAAATCCGCCCCTGTATATGTAGGTAAATTTAATGGCTTTTTTATTTCAAGATCAGCTTGCATTACGTATTTCAGATCATACTTGTTTCCATACCTTACAATCTAATACTCTTTGGGCATCAGCTTTCTTTGGGTCTCCAAGTTCACAATGAATACCTTCTTTCTTTAATGCATCTGCAATAGATAATCATATTGTCCATCTTTCTACCAGTATTTTTCCAGCTACATTTGTAAGATCTGAATAAACTGCTGAAATGATGGTTTTGATAATAAAGACTGACAAAAAGTCTAAAATAAATCATAATCATGCACAGCTGTTGACAATGTAAAATTACATTTAAAACATTCAAAGTCAGTTAATGGCTACTTCTTATCATTCAGATTCCTTAATGTTCATTCAAGGAGTTGTATGAGACAACTTCTTGGCTCATTTTACTAAAAAAAAATTGGCATGGTATTTACCTGCCAGGAAGTCTGCAAATTCTCTATCCTTTTGAATATGACTTATAAGCACATCAACATTACCACTGGACGCTGAAGAAGGTGGTGGGTGGTGGGACAGCTCCATCTCCAGGTAAAAGAGGAGTGTCACTGAGTATAACACGCACTTTCAGTTACTTGCTGTACTGGTATGTATATACTGTACTACATGTAGTATATATCACTGCCTGCAACAAGTTTCAATTGATGTACCAATCATCTCACCTTGAAATATATAAATATACAATATTCAGGTTTCTTGTGTCTAAATTTGGCAGAGTTACAGTCACTGACAGCAAAAGAATCTGTCTGACAAAAGTACCTTGATCATACAGCGCACAGTAGCACCATAGCCATTGGCAAAACCTGTGGTTAGGGCCGCGGTATCTTAATTAAAATGTAAAGTATCATCGAGAAAAGGACTATTTCTGTTTAAATTGTAGTAGTATATGACTGAAAATTTCGATCACATTCAGGTCGCTTTTAATTATACTCAACCTTAGCTACATGCATTGAAAATTTGTTTACCTTACCTGTTTAAATGTAGAGTCGTTTTGTACCTATGCTGAAGTTTCGCTTTATTTTCATGTGGGATTTTTTAAATAAATGAAACAGTACAGACATTCTAATGCAGAATTCACTAATTAATTAAAACAGTGTTTTTTTTATTTGTGCTCATTTACGTTGTAAAAGAGATATTTCCATTTTGTACTAGCATATTATACTTTCTAAACTGTATCCGTAATAAGAAGCTATGGTCGTTTGCTGACAACATGTAAACTTATGTTGACGTGAAGAAATTTAGTATATTTCACACACTTGATAAAGTTCTGTAGAGAAAGTAGTTAAATTTTCGAAGGTTCCTGATTCTGTTGGCTTCATTTGGTAGGTTTTACATTGCTTTCTTTATCAAATTACTTACATGTTGTCGTCCGGACAATGTTGTGATTGCTCCAATCAAGGAGTTATAACTCCTTGCTCCAATCAAGCGTTTACTGCAAACATACTGTACATAAGCTACAAACACTTGGAGACCAGTCATTTAGGATTTTTTAAAAAACTAGAAATAGCATTAAATCGCCATATTTAGTCTGTAGTACTTGGTTTACAACAAAAATAATGGTGATATAAGTTGCTTAGTGTGGAATTACAAAATGTAGTTGTGAAATAACCAAGTGGATATACTGTAATTAACCGACTCAAATTATATAATCGTTATTTCTGCAGGTGTTACATTATATACTTCTGTCCCTTTCATTTCTTGTTGTAGATACTAGTACATGTACAAGTCTATCGTTATAGAAAACTTGAATAAATGGTTTACAATGTACATTGGACATAAAGATAACAGCATTTATTTTAGTGGAGATCATTTTGAAGTTTTTATACCATGGCCATGTGACATTCACCAAACCCCAATGACTGAGTACTGCACTGTAGTGGGTTGATACAAGATCATGGGTTCTGGGTCCAGCATTCAGACTGGGAAGGATTCTTCTGCTTCTTCTCCCTCCAAAACCAGTAAAACTGGTCAAAAGGAGACGAAGTCTGACTACATTGTTGAACCCAAAGATGTGATGATTAGCTACAGCCATGCTGATAAAGATATGATGAACAAACTCAAAGGTTAGTTACAGAACAATTTTTTCAGCCTCAAAAAACTATGCAATAGCAAACTGAGCCTGTTTAAAGATTATGATAATGATATTTCTTTTTGTTTGTGAACCTACTGAGTATTACACTCTGTGTAATTACAATTAGAAAGAGTAATTTACTTAAATGTATATATTTGAAGTCCTCTGCAGTAACTTTACTGTATATTTTATACTATCTCCTAGGTACTAAGTTATTTGTGTGTAACATGTTACAGTATTTTGTCATCTTTTCAGATGCATTAGAGAAGCATGGAATATCTGTATGGGTAGACACAATCGGTCTCAAGGCTGGTGTAGACTTTCTCAGTAAAATAGGGCAAGCTATTATTGATGCCAAGGTAAGTGGTGTGTGTGTGTGTGTGTGTGTGTGTGTGTGTGTGTGTGTGTGTGTGTGTGTGTGTGTAAAAACATTCCCAACTTTGAGCTGCAGAATGATATCGATTCATTAATTAAAAAACCTATTCACAAGAATTCAAAGAAATTTGGTTTGCTTTTTCTTCAGTACATCATCTATATTAAGTTGATGTTTAAGTATCAGCATCTTTCCATGCAGGCTCTCAAATGATGGCCATCTTCCAAACTGTTGCCCCCTCCATCTACACATTACATTTATTCCCAGCATAATGAGGCCACATTTGTCAGAAAAGTGATTCAACAATTAAACATGAATTTGTAATTTAAAGTCTTGTCTCCACAAGTTCAAATTGCAATTAAGCAAATCAATCCCAAGATATTGTGTTAAGTAGTGTAACTGAGCACACCAGTATGTTTTGGAGTGGATTTTAATATTTTGTGAAGATATCATACATGAATGAAACAATACTGTGAGAAATGTGTTGAAATTAAAGGTAAGAATATTTTTCATCCTCTATTATTATTTTATTATTTTTTATTTAATGCATCACATAAATTACAAGTCTCACGGAACTAGGGTTTATTTCAATCTTACAAGAAAGATATGTTAAGATCTACAGTTTATGCACATCATGCAAGAGACTGCTATATTAAAGTATAAGTGATATTAATTGCATGTTTGCATGTTTCCACTTGAATTATTTGGGAGCAGATTGCCATGTCAGGTGTTGAGTGTGCGGCATACACAATGTTGTTCTGGGTGTTAATTTATGTTTTGCTCTATGTTGCCCGTCAGTCCAGACTTCTTGACTGATAGACTCTATTTTCAACTATTAGCTGGATCATTTTGCCAAAGCAAATGTTTTAACTAGATTTATGATTTATTTGGAAAAAAGGTAAAATTATTTGTATTTTGTTTTACTTTACTTAACTTTAGAAAAGCAGTGCATAAAACTATGTAAATCTTCCCTAAAAAAATTAAGAATGTCAAGGATAAGCCTAATTTTACCTCTTAACCTCCAGATCTTACCGAGAGCTAATACATATCCAATCCAACTTCAATGTGCCAAAGCTCAAAACTGAACATTTCTGAAACACCTTTATCCCCTTTTCTTTAATCAGCTTTTAGAGGTCTGTGTTTTATTTCAAACTCAATTTAATGTTAATATAAAGCTTTTACGTTAATATTTTATTTTCAGGTTTTTTTAAAACTCATGTTTATATACAACTTCAACCTTATGGTTGCAATGTTTCAAATAAATGTATTATTATAATAGCGTATTATTAATTTACTATTTATGTTGGAATAAGTAAGTTTAAACTTATCTTGTTTTAATTATTTTTCTTTGTTAATACAGAATTCTTTTTCATCTTTTTAGCTTTTCATTTCTTTATTAAGTGAAAAGTCTATAGCGTCTAAGTACTGCCAGGATGAATTGGCTCTTGCCTATATCTCCAATAAACCAATCTTCCCATGTGGTCTTAAGACTCCAGAAGAACTTTTCCCTTTGATGGACACAGGAATGTGAGTATTTAAGGATGGAAAGAGTTTTGATTTCATGACATCTTTTTTATAAGGAACAATTTTACATATTTATTTATTTATCATTCATGTTTAAGAGATTATTTTGGAAAATGTGTTTGTAGTAATGGTGGACACAATTAGCTAGTTTGGAAACAATTTTCATCAGTGTCAGAATCAGCTGCTATTTTGATTGATAAAAAAGCAATGTGTTTTTTTTTTTCATCCATGTGAATATAATTAGAGAACTATGTTTGAATATTGAAATACTTTAGAAAGATTTGTTAGCTGATTTTTTTCATCTGCACCATTGTCATTTTTTTCTGTAGGAAACTTCAATTAGCAAGATTTGAATGGAACTTATTCACTGAAGAAGATGCTTTTGAAAGCAATTTTGAGAAACTTGCCAATAAAATGGATGCAGAAATATCTAAAATGAATATCGAATCCCACGTGCCTCCAGCCGATGAGGCATCATCATCATCCAAGCAGGCTGAACCATCTGATAAGGGAGACGGAAATCCAGGTAAAGGACAAGGAGAAAAAAATTAATTGTCACGATACTTCATGCCTTACACGCTTAAATGTTAATATAAGAGGAACAACACAGACAGGTGCACAAAATGAAAAAACAAAAAGTTGATGGGAAAGGGGAGAAGATTTTCCACCTTCTTTCACCCTTTACACCCTGAATCTGCCTGTTTACGTATGAACCTATAGCTAGTAGCATGCATTTTAAGGCACTGTATGAAATTTGAATGCTGATTGTCAGAATCACATATCATCAGCCCTTTATTAAAAATCATCAATGAGAATTGTCTTGGGCATTTGTTTGAGACCAAACAAAACACTGAAGAGCTTGGTGGTGATCATTTGTTTTTCACTTTATATTTACAGAATCTCGTCAAATACTGAAGCGTCAAGACAGCGTACGAATGAACCAGAGATTTGACAAAAACATGATGGGAAGATTAGATTCCTTTGGCATAACGGTGAAGGAGGAGGACTTTTGGAGCCAACATTACCCAGATCGAAACCAAGTGGAATGGATTGAGTAAGTCTCTTTTTTCTGTTTAAGTCAATAAGTGTTGTGGCTCTTAAGTGTAGTGTACTAAGTGCATTTTGTAAATTATCACAACTTTGTTTCCCATTGGTAGAGCTGCTATTATTATTATTATTATTATTATTATTATTACTATTATTAGTATTATTATATAAAATTTTTGGTGCTATTCATTGTCTATTCCTGTGTTCACTCATCAATGTAAAGATACAAAACTTTTTAACCGATTGAGGTCTATTTAAAAAGATGTTTATATGTAATCTACTAGTGTTTTTGATACTCCAATTTTTTCTATATTTTGTGTGATTTTAATGTTGTTTTAGTGATGCAGGAATTTTCATGTAAAGTGCTGAGATGCATGTGTGGAACCTTTTTTACAGATAGCCCTTTTTTAAAAGATATCTGTTTATCATTGTTATTATTATTATTGTCATAATCATTCATGTTACTTTTATCATGATAACAATAATGATACAGTTAGATTTGTGGTTTGATGTCATTTTAAATTGCTCTTTTGAAAACAAGAGGAAAAATACCCTATTTTGCAGGATATTGGATATATTCTTTATAGTGTACTTTGCAAATTTATACAGTGTAACTGAAACACTTATGAACTGATAAGTATTTGGATTTAAATACCAATTGGGATTTAAGATTATGAGCGTTTGTCTACTCTATCTACTTAGATTCTCAGGAAAATTCAAGCAGGAATACAAGAGTAACATTGACAAGCTGTTCTCAGAGGAGGACCAGACGAGGATGGAGATGATGATGAAGCATGAAATGGCTGTGGAGGAAGATGGGATTCTTCATGTTGAAAAGTACAAAGGTGGGGGCAGTGTTATTTCCTAACAATTATGAACAAAAGTGATTTTTTTTATTTTGCAATAGATTGTTTTGATGGTAAATTCTTAAAAGGACCGTGCATTCACCGGTCTGAAAAACATTTTTATAATTTTTATTTTATTTTATATTTTGGGGAGGGGTCATTTTCCATTGGTCATATGACTTAAATAAGTCAGAAAGCCTCTTTTTTATTTCAGAATTCTGCACCATAGATAAGGAATTGTTTTCATTGTGGCAGCGAGTGCAAGACTATGCCTTAGAGCACTTTGCCATGAGAGAAGTATTTAACATGGATTCTCATGTCAGGGTGGAGGCAATAGAAAATTTAGGTATTTTTGCAGAAAGTGCATTTTAGGTGCAACATAGTTAACAC